TCTTCTAAAAATATCTTTGTTGAAATTGAATTTTTATGAAACTATATAGCTATAGCTGGGACACACCTAAAATGTGTTAGGATTTGTCATTCCTATGATAAGTAGCTTAGAACCTAATGAAAACCCTTGGTCATTTCGATGTCATATACTATTAATTATTTCAAAGGTCAAGAATCTTAAAACATTTAATCTTAAAACTACACCTGGGTGATACAATCAGAAAAGTAAAGTATTTTGAAAATATTTAATTAAACAAAACAAGAAGAAATCTACTAATTAAAAAAAGTTTAAATAGAATGTGTATTTTCCCACATAGTACTTTTTTTTCTACTGTATATGAAGTACTTTTTTAAAAGAACATTTTTTTAAATGAACATGTGCACACATTCTATTTTTCAGTGCTAGTTTCACAGAGGAGTAGGATAAAGTGATTTGGAATAAAAATTTTATCACTTACTAACTCCTGGGAAACTCTTTGAAGCTAATGTAATGGGCATCGCTGTAAATTAACAACAACAAAAAAACTCAGACACAGTCCAGTCTTTCAATAATTTAGTGTCTTATAGGGAAGAAAACCAAAACCAGGTATAGGTGTGAGAATTGTTTTAAAAATTTAGTAGGTAGTGCTTCAAAACAAATCTATATAGTAATAAGAAGACCCCTGTCTCACGCACAGTTGTAATACCAATATCTGATGTGGTGGTGGAATGGCCAGTAAATTCGCTTTCTCTGAGGATTTTATAAGCAAAAATATCAGTAGTTAGTAGCATAGGCTGTGGAGCCAGAATTGTCTGGGTTTACATCTCAATTCTATCTCACACCAATTGACTTTGGTGGCTTCACTTAACCTCTCTGTGCCTCAGTTTCCTTATCCACAATTTGATAATTACATATTGTTCACAGAATTACAGTGCTGTTGGGAGGATTAAATGACTTCATGTGAGCAAAGCAGGTAGAACAATACCTGGTACACAGAATGAATCTAAGTAACTAACTACATAAATCAAGACAACTTAAAAAGGAGTATCTGATGGAGCACATGTCAGTCTATGTGTACCCAAGCCTTAGTGTACCCACAGTGAAAGACAGATTAAAACATGCCACCAACCCACGATCTCAATCATGGGGCTGGGTCAATCCTTACCTTTGTATAAGCAATAGACTGCCATATCTTAGCGGTCTTTTCCAAACTTGATCAGCAAAAAAGTCCTTAGTGCTCTTACTAAAACACTGTGAAATGATTAAATATGTAATTCCATCAACGGAATCACAAAATGCCCCTTTACTTGTCAATAGTATTTATGTGCAATACAAAGTCGCAACCAGGAACACCATTTATTCCGAAAAAAACACACATGGTCAAACTGGGCATGGTTAGCTAATTTTGAAGTTCCCAGTTAATATTATTTTACTATTCATTTGCTCATTTTACTGTATGAAGAACAGACATAAGTGATGAAGACTAAAGAAAAACATAAAACAAAAAGAAAAACATAGAACTGAGAAAATTTTAGCTATTAAATCTCCCCATTGTTATTGTATTTTATTGACAATATTACAGGTGTCTCCCATTCTCCCCCTTTGCCCCCCTCCAACCTGCTCCCACCCCCCCCCACCTTAGACCTTCACCACATTAATGTCTATGTCCATG